AAAAAAAAAAAATTTTTTTTATTTACTTTCAGTGAACACAATCCATGAAATCAGATCTTATTCCTCATGTCTGTAAGAGTTATTATATAGATCAAACCAGAGATTAGAAAAAAATTCAAAAGCCTTGATCATTATTTGAGAAGTGAAGTTACCAGTTAGGTTCCTAGTGTTGCAGGGGCCCAGGTTCCTTTGAGGCCTTAAGAATTATCAATGGCAAGTGGTAGGTCTAAATGTTTACGGGGGAAGGCAAAATCTAGGTTTGAATTCTGGCTCTGTCACTTCCTAGTTTTGTGATATTAAGGAAGCTACACAGGTGCTCCAAATCTCAATTATTCAGCTCCCACAGTCAGGCACTGGAACGAGATGCACAGCGTCCTAGTCTTCTAGAAACCCAACAGATAGTTAAGAAATGGGGGATACTCGGGATTCCTAACTCCAAAGAGACTGAAAGTAGGGCTTAACCAGGCCCAGATGGAATTGGGTCCGTGGGGCAACATTTTAAGGTACTATGTGGGGGCCTGAAAAGCCGCAGCGGCCATTGTACAACATATAGTTCCTGCGACTCTAAGGCAGGTGTTTACGATTACTTAATGAAATAAGTGTGGAAGCACCTAAAACTGAAGTAGGAACAAGAGACAGGGCCTGGGGCACAAAACCTGAACGCTAACAGGGGATTTCAACCTCTGTCAAGACAAAGGCTAAAAAAGCCAGGCGATTTGCTGGTTCCAGGCGGAGGGCGTGGCTTCGGGCAACAGCCAGACATCGTCTTCCGGAACCGGCCCATGCCCCGGAAGGGGTTGTTTGTTGGGGCACATTGGGACTTGTTACGGAAGTTTCACAGGGGCAGTCACCATGTTTCTCTCCTCGGTTTTCTGTAAGTGTGGCTGAAGGCGGCGGCAGGAGCCACAGCGAGGGCGGGGAGCCGTGGCAGGCGGGCCCCGGGATGTTGCGGAATGTGCGAACCGACCAGGAAGCTGCTTTGCGAACTTCCTAGGCCTCCAGGACTACAGCGTCCGGCATGCCCCGCGGCGCGCCTGGTGCGCCGGCGTGTAGGCTCCTGCGGTGTTTGGCTTCTGTTGGGGTTTCCAGGCTCTTGGGGTTTGGTCGGGATTTGTGGGGCACTGGTCCAGCCCTTCTTTGGGATGTGTCAGCTGAATTACTGGACATCCAAACTGGGAAGGACCTCAGAATTTCTAGCCCACCCATTTCTCACTCTTAAGATGAGGAAACTGCTCCCGAGAGGGGCAGTGAATGGCCCCAGATTCAGCTGGGCGATTAAAGATGCCCTCTTGCTCCCGAGTCAGGATCCTTCCTTGAACCTGGCTGACCTCCCGGTTAAATTGAAGTGATGGTAGTTGCAGTTTGCAAAGATTAACTTACCACACGAAGTTTGTTCCGATGCAAATATTTGCTCCGTAGGAGAGGAAAGAATGGAGCAGATATTACTTTAAAATGATTTAAAAGGTAGCCAGTCCACTTGAAATGAGATTGGGCAAGTTACTACATCCAGAATTGTGTTAGTCTGATTGGTTCTTTTTATCTTCTGTAAAATCCTAATGGGATCCCTAATAATGAGGGAGCAGTTATTTGACAACTCATGGCGTACTTAATTAGTTAAATGTTTTTGGATGTTACTAACATTTACATGAACTTTGCATAAGAAAGATAATAAATTTATATTTTTATTTTTCGACCTTTCCTGTCTGCAAAAAAGTTGCCAAGAGCAAGTCAAAGTGAGTATTTCTCTTTTTTAAAACTTGTTTTAGATTTGTTAGTCTGCTCCCAGTACATCCTTATATTAAACTAAGTATTTGGCTTTGATTTCTTAAAAGTTGGTTTGAAGATGACTTAGCTAATTATTTTGTCTGTATGAACTCTTTCTTTTTTTTTTTTTTTTTTTTTTGAGACAGAGCCT